TACTCCAATATGGAGAGAAGCACTGCAGGAGTAGAGTGCCTTGCCCAAAATCACAACACAAAAACCTGGCCAGGGGCTTGCCCCTGGAGTGCAGCACGCTAATCACAAAGCTATCACATCTTCTACATACCATAGATCTCACAAGGAAAATTTTCAGAAAATTGATATGAAGAAATTGTCAATTAAGTGTCCAAAATGTTACGCATTGCATTGGTTTTGCATTATGTTTTTCTGTGATTGGTCTAGAAAACACACACCAACCTCTTGACCAATCAGTAGCGAAACAGTTGCAACCTGGTCTTTCGCGTTTTCCCGCGCTTCAAGCAAGGTGCTCGTTTTAACTTTCATTCTGATTGGCTCCTTGCAGTATTTCTTATGTTCTGATTGGCCATTTTGATATCTTCAGGTTTTGATTTTCAACACTCAATCGAAAGCAAACAAACTGAATATGAAATACACGGATGAAGGAAAAGAGGTTTGGAATGTTTTTTTCCCACGTTAAGGAACCTATCAGAAAGTCCTGATAAAATAGTTCAGAGTAATATCACAAAAGTTCCCAAAAAGGGGAAGATTGAAACTTTCTTACCAAGTTTCTGTTCTCTTTGTTGCAAATCATTTAACTCCTTCAGTTGGGTTTTGACATCGTTGATGTAGTCAACTGTCTTTTCGAGCACAATGTTTTTGCTCTGGAAAAAAGAAGGCTAATTTATTTAAAGTAATCAATACAAAGTGAAGATGCAAGCATTTTCTGCCCTCAAAGAAATGATATGGATCATTCCAAATAACACAGCGGCAATGTGTTTTGTTTTAATTAGATAAGTGTGGCATTAATTGGGCTCAATGAAGGACATGGTGGCAGGGAACGGGTAAAGTTCTTGAAGATTCAAGGATTTCATTGCGGTTGGGAGTAGGGCAGGCATTTGGATTTGCACCCACACATGTTGTACAGAAAGCTCAAAGATGCTTACTCCCCCTAGGTAGTCACTTTCTTAGAAAAGAAAAAATGTAGAAATTAAATTCTTCAGAAAGATTTTGAAAGCTCACGTTGCTGGAAAAAGTCATCTTCACAGCTGGTCAATTTGCCTGTAGCCCAGCTCTTAAAAAACCCCTGCAGCCTGTAATTTTCTTTCAGAGTTGGAGACCTCCTCAAATTCAGTTCATTTGGTTTTTTTTATACCTGCTTTCCCCAGCTGCACTGTGGTACAACACTTGCAAGCCTCAGTATCCAGTTATTTATTTTGCCTTTCCGCCTTCGTTCCACTGAAAATAAACCAGAAGCAATGTACCAACTAAGTTCATTTATGTACAGAACTTAACCCTTTTACTCCAAAGATCTGATTGTTAATTCTCCCTTTTAGCTTTTGAACATTTCCTTGTAAATTAATAACAAGAATTTGGTGTTAGATCAAGATAACAACTTCTAACTCATTTTTTTAGTACTCTCATTACCTATGCAGGATAATGCATGGACATTACAAGAAGAAATTGCATGTTCATGGCTACTGGGAGTTAAAGATTATCAAATTTGGCAGAGCACAGCAAAAATGGTTCTTTCATAGTGAAAGGAAAACTGAAGTGGCACTTAAAGAAGTTCACTTGAATGTCTTGAATTGATGCAGAATGGAGTATTCTAGAGCTTGAATTTCTCATTACAAAATTTCTTGTGAGTCCATGTATAACATTTTTATGTGTTAGACTTACTAATAAAATATGTTAAAAAATGAACTGGAAAGAGGAGCTAATATGTCTACAGTGCAATTCTTCCAGTAAAGTGAAACTTTATTTTACCTTCATTGTGCACAATCCTTCTCCTGGTCTGCTGGGCGATGCCCCCACTTTTTAAAATGATTCAAATTAAAGACAATCAGCAAGATTTTGAACACAAAATGACATGTTTGGGAATGAAAAAAACCAAACTTCATAGGGTGTTTCTTCGTCACTTGAGAAAAATCAGTCTGTTATTTCAAAATAGCTGGTTTAAAATGAATATAGTGCCTTAAAATATAACCCCAAGTTGGTTCTAAGCTACACACAGGAAATGGTTTTAACCCAAGGGTAAAATTTGATTGTGTAGTCTAATCACCTCAGTGAAGGTACTGCTAGAAATGAGATGGACTGTTTTTGGTAATGATTAGACTGTCTTGCACCACTTTGGTTTCACAGCCAATAGCACCACAGCAACACTGACCAATCAGAACATACAAACCAGAAATATCACACTTCACTGACAAAAAGTCTTCATTAGACTCTGATGAAGACTTCTGCCAGGATTGTTAAACAGTCTCAGTAATACCCTCAACCAGAAGATCATACTTTTGCAATCAAATTTAGACCCCTAGTTGAGAAGGCCAGGTTTGAGGCCTATCTGTGGCACTCTGTTGTTGTCTAAGTCGATAAACTTTAAACTTACTGTACCACGACACAGTTTTTCTAAGGACAGATAATGCTATGTACTGGATAAATCTCTATCCAATAGATAGCGCAGTGCATTTTGCTATCACTTATCCACTGGATAGTGTTACCTTTCCTTTGAATGACTGGGCTCAGGAGTGTAAACTGGTACTGATAACAGCCAACTAGGAAACTTGATAGATTGCAGGGAACGTAACCCACCTTACACAAGCTTTTCTTCCAGAAGATTTACAGTACTACTTGTCCCTTCATACCATAGGAAAATGAAAAAAAGCTAGCAGAATTGGGCTACTAGGTTCATTAGAAGTATCTTTTCCTTCACATCACTCCACAAAGGCTTTAGTAAGGTACTAAATGTATAACAAATAAATTCTTGTTACAATTGGTATTCCCTACCTCAGCACTATATCTGACGACACATAGTAAGGAGTCTGGTTGCTTGTCGGAGAAGCAAATCTGTAGGAGAATACACTGGCGGGTATTGGCTTAGTTGTATTCTGAAGGATAGCAAGGTTTTTTTGAACCATGCCATTTGCTGTGGTCACTACAAAAAGGAACAATTTTAAGTGAGGTGCGTAATTATACATTTGTTACTTAAAGCATATAAAGTACAATAAAAATAAAGAAAAGGAAGGACATTATGATGAAAATGGGGGAATTTCATTGGCAAATCAATGCAAGATGTCAGAAAGATCACACTACCTGCAGAAACAGATCCATTGACATGAAAATAATTTGTATTCATATTTTCTGCCCTTAATACTGTGGGCAGGCATGGACCACTGTAAACTCAAAGTATGTGACAAATTTTCAGTAATCAGTTGCACATGAACAAATGATTCACACATTGTGAGATATTTTTTAATACCCAACTTGCCCAGTCGTACACAAGATGATAATAATAAATATTACACCACAAAAATTTGTCATTTAATTTTGTTAAAATAGACCAGTCTTGCAAATTACTTGATCAATTTGTGGAAGAAAGAAAACTAATTTTCTGTTTTAGGCCCATTTAGCCACATGCACATAATCCCATACCAACATTACTTCAACCAACAAGAATTTTAAATTTTTACTCATTTATAAAATTTTTTTTTGGTAAATTCAACATCTGTAAATGATCAGAGGAAAATTATTTTGATTTTATGGATCCCGTGAAATCAGATTATGAAACTTTCGAAAAAAACTCCTGGAAATTTTGAAAACATGCTCAAACCAACGGCGGATTTAAAAAGTAAACATTATCCACTGAAATGAAAGACACTCAAACAGCATTGGACAAAAGTCTATTTTGGTAGCCAAATTATTCGTAGCATCTGCTGAGTTCAAACTAGAAGTTACCTAAATAATAGGACAAGAATCTGTTTCCTGACCAAATATAGCGTTATCATTATTTGATGATTTCGCGTCAGAGTCAGCTGTTTTCCTTCACTTTGCATTGATAACTTGGCAAGCGCTGCTTTGCTCTACGATGAACCATACTTAAAAATTTAGTGAAAAAGCGCCTTTCTAATGAAAATAATGGTAATTTCTAACGATAGTTGCATTTTTTAAGGATAGATCATTCGCTTACCAACTTGCGTGGCCGGTACAGTGGGAAGAAGTAGCGTGATAGGATTTTGTTGAGTTGGAGTTGTGGTTACTGAAGAAACAACATGGCCGCCATTTTGAATGTTGTTGACTGCAGCAGAAGCTTCACGATTGTCGTTCGAGTTCTTGGGGATCTCAGGAATCGTCTCTAAAGTTGTAGAACTCTCGACACTTGCCATACTGACAATTCAAAATAAATAACGTTCAAATCCATACTTCAGGTCTGCCATAAACCCTCGCTAAAGAAAGAAAAAAAAAAGATGGGTTAAGGAGAAATTGATTATCTGATCAAGGAGAAAACCTAATTGTAGAGGTAAGCGACGGAAAAAAATACGACGTTGTTTAAAATCTGTAAAGTGAATGTATAAAAAAATAACTACACGAGGGAGAGGCTAGAAAATAGTAAATTTACCACAATTTAGCTGTACAGTGGTGGGGAATAAAGATAGAAACTCTGATTGGAATGTAAATTCTTTCTTCGCTTCTTAAGCTCTCGAAAGGATCTACTGTTCAAAGTTTTCTATTGGCGCATCGGACAATTTTTACCAAGGAGGGAGAGGTTAGTAAGAGTGTAAATTTCCACTACGGAAGGAGGGAGGAGTAGCTAAAATAAATTTCCTTCTCCTACTATTTTGAAAAATTTCATAGCGTTATTTTCTTTCGATTTCTTTCATCTCTCCAAAAAAGCCATTGGTAGATTAGAGTAAGTGAAAATAATGGGACGTTTTTTCTCTTGATTATTGTCACCATGTATGGTTATAATTTGCGCTACAAACTATCGTTTGGTTAAAAGGAAATGAAAAGCCATAAATTTGAAAAGACAGAGAAATATTTCCAAAGATAATGGAAAAGAAAGACCGATCAAAGGTGGAAAAGGATGAAAAAGCTTGAGGCGGATTATATACGACTTGCCCAGAAAAATTCAGGCTAAACTCTAAAGGATACGCAAATTGGAAAGTAGATTATTTAAGATGAAAATTGACGTCAGATTAACCAGCTAAGACGAATCAATCACGCATGCGTAATGAGGGACAATTACAAACCAAAATCCAATTGCTCAAAAGCCTTCGTTGACGTACTGCAATAGATCGCAATGTAAGTGTCATACTTTCTTTAATAGGGAGTGTATCAGCCGATAATTCCATCGTAGCCGACAACTCTAACAAGCAAATTCAAGAGGGTGATTTCTTATAGAAACGATTCCGGTGAAAATGCATAGCATCAATGAGCAAATCAATTGGACGCTTTGGAGGTATCCCCAAGGACTACGTGGAAGCTATTGCCCCGACCACAGTTGTAAAGCCAATAGCTTGCATGGGGTTGGCGCGCTGAGATCCAGATCGAAAGGCCTGGGCTTGAGTTCTGGCCAAGTCAGTACGCTTAATTCTTACGGTAGACACCTAACGGCACTTTTCGATCGCGCATCGTAAAAACAAAACCAAAGTGATCAGAACAGCCAATCAGAAGAAAGGAAAATACCCTGAAGAGCCAATGTGAACTCAGATTTTTCAAGGTTTTCAAGCTCCATCTCTGTATCGTCTGAGGAACCCAAATTTTTATAAGCTCCTAGCTTCTGCGGGTTTCTTCGCTTAATTACTCAACTCGTTTTCTAGTTATCGACAAATTTGTAAGTTAATGTAATTCACTATCTGTAATAGTTTGTGGCAAATAAATAAATAAATAAATAAATAAATAGAAAAAGTAAAAACAAGCAAACCCCTTAATTCGCGAGATTGAGAGATTGACATGGGGACATAAAAGCAACGCAAAGCAAAAGCGATGCAACACATTTCCAATTCTTGGATGAAAACTGCTCTTCTCGGAGCGCCTCTCTCCACCCAGGAGTATAAATTATGGGTTACAGTAATCCCGTACTTAGATGTTACCATTTAACTGTGAATAGCCTACGAGTAACCGTGCTCTCCGCCCCAAGGAGAACTCCGACGAAGGGATAACGTCGGAACGTCTGCTTTGAAACTCTTAACAGGGGCCAATTTACGTCACCAACTAACCTGCAATGTGGTTTTGGACTCTTTATTACTAAGTTAATTGCTGAAATAATAGGTATTTGCTTGAAGCTTTCATGACAATCGATGTGTAGGTAAAACGTTTGGTTATGCTGAAATTAGTTTAGGACGCAGTTTTTCTCAACAACGACTAGGCTAGTCTTAGGGGTTTGATTTGAAGTGCATCTGTATAAATACGTGAAATCTTATGTAAAACAGTCCAGACATGAGAGAAAAAATTGGCGTATTTTTTTTTCTCTGACCGAAGCTGTCCCACGAGGTACATCGTCATTCTGTCGTTAAAAATACGATAGGCCACTATCACGTGCGCACGTACTTGTTCACGCAACAACTTTCTGTCAGTGCAGAATAAATAGACTAATTCCCAGTATCTCTCTTAAGATCTTGGGATTGAAATGCTTATAACGAAAAAGTATTACGAAAGCTTAAGGCTCCTAGACGGGTGAGGGAACCAATCGGTTTTATTTCAAAATTTAAGTTCCTATGATAAAAACAATGTATTGGCAAAGTTTGACAAACATCTTAGTGCAAGTTCTATTTCAGAAGAACAATTTCATGCATTCCAAAGCACGAAAGACAGCAAACCTCTGTGAATCAGAGCTGAGTTTGAGAAATCATCACGCGGAGAGTTGATTACACCGCTGCAATATCTCTCAATAAGTTATACGTCCACATCATTAAAACTTGCGAAATATTTTACAAACTATCAGTTTTTAAGCCATTTAGAATATTCTATCATAATTCGTCGCTAGGTTTTTTGTTAGAGCTGCTATCAGATGACTCTGCATTTTGTTTTGAATTATTTCCTTCTGATGAGCTAGAGCTGTCCGCGGGCTCACCAGATGTCGAGGACTCAGCCTCGGAACCAGGTAGAGGCAGAGGCTCTGCCTCGTCCGATTCTTTCTTATCTTGTTCACTCTGTTTCTTATTTGACTCGTCTGGTTTTTCTTGTTTTCCCATACTTTCCTCCTTTGTCTTTTCATCTTCCTTCGCATTATCTTTAGATTTTTTCTCGTCCTTGTCTTTTTCATCTTCTTTTTTATCTGCACTCGCTCCTTCAGCTTTGTTGCCTTTTTCTTGTTTTTCTTTCTTAGTATCCGTTTTGGGTTTTGTCGTGTTTGACGCTGAATAGTAAAGAAAAAAATCCAAAATTTGTTTAAGTACAACAAAAAAACGGTTCTCTCCCTTAACCGTGGAGGGCGTCTCCCATTTAGAGGAATACCTTTCCATCACAGCTAAACTACCTTCCCTCTTCTCCCTGAACCTAAGCAAACAGACTTCCCTAGCCCCTGCCCTGAGTATTTGCTGAGGTTACTATTTTCCTGGTCTTTCGGTCTGTAACAAAACAATGATCACAACTAGATAAATGAAATAAACACACGAATAAAAAATAAACAGTTGAGTAAAGAGACAAATGATTTATAAAAGAATATAACTTATCAATTCTAATCAATCCTAATTAATGTTAGTTCTTTTAGCGCGTAAAAATCGCACGATTGTCACGTAAAACTAGGGTAAATACCACACGATTCATACCTGTTTCGTTGACTTTGGGCTTAGGCACGTAATACTTGGCCTTGTTTAAAAGATAAACCAACTCACGGTCGATTTTGCCTTGCTTAGTTTCGATGTCCTTTACTAGGAAGACTGGCTTATCGCTGGGTTTTGCCTCCTTTTGTTTCTTTTCGTTCTTTTCAATCCATTCCTAATGAAATCAAGAAAGAAGGATGGGCTGAAATTGAGGGTCAAAAAATCATTTTTCATATCTTGCATGCAGAACGGAGAAAGAGACTGCGTTGCAGCTGCGGCCATTTTAAAAGGAGGAAAATTGACAAGGATGTTAAATGATTACACATAGTAGGACCTAAATGTCATTTATTATATGGCAAGGAGGGGTAGGGTAAATCCAAGCGTTCTGATAAGTTCTTACTTGGTCCGTATTTTCCTGTACGGACCGTTTCCACGGAAACGGTCATAAATCGTGTATTTTGGCGAAAGCCAGCAAAATTCTAAACAAATAAATTTGGCCCCAGAGCCATATAATTAACTAATCACTAAACTCGCTTGCTCGAGCCGTACTGGGGAATAATGGCCCAAGGTCGTGGAAGTGCGGACCTCCCAGCGCTCGATCCGTACCGCCACGACCTCGGGTCAATATTCCTCGCGCTTGTTTAATAAGAACTAATAGTACATGCAATCACACCGACAAATTTTCTCACATACAGAAGTGCTACAATCCTGAAGCGCTCGCTGATTCGAGAGTCCATCTTACCGTTGTATCATTAATCAATTTGCCGAGTTCCTCCAAATCCTTTGCAGTATAAATCTCATCTTTGTCTGTAATGTTGTCTATTTGGACTAGGAAAGTTTTGGACAGGTTCAAGCTGCTCTTCAGCATCTCTACTGCTTTGGGTCTTTCCTTGTGCTCTTTTAGGCGGATTCTGAACTCGTACGATTGATCCTTTAGTTTTTGCAGTTTGGCCTCGTACACCTGATGAAACAACATGAATAACGTTTTTAGACCCTTCGACTTCCAAATGAGAGCGATATGTTCTTATCTTAAATCCTGCTTAAACCAACAAAGGGGCTAAAAGAACAGAAGAACTAAACAGGGAGAAGGCAATATGTTTGTTCCACACTAAAATCTCAACACCAATTTCAACGCAAGAAAAAACCGCGGGAAAAAACTTTCGACAAAATATAGCCGGGGAACAGGTCCACATCACAAGCGCTGCTCCACCTGCGGGAAGATTTGAGACGAGTTGGAGAGTGGTTTGTTGGGGGTCTGGCACCAATAATGTTAATACAACCGTTGAAGTTTGCTTACGTCGGCAGTTGAGTCCCAGCCCTCATCGTCCAGCCAGTCAGAGGCCTCACTAAGGGCCTGGTCAATCTTTTCCCTCTCCTCCTCAGTAGACAGTAGTACTCCTGTATCAGTAAACAGTTCTTCTCTCATGCCATAAATATGTGTTTCTAACAAGTTCTTCGCTCTTTCATTGGCGGCTTTTGCTTCGTCCTTTGCTTGCAGGTCTTTAAGTCTGTCGAAACAAAGGAAATCCATTTACAAAAAAACATTTCTAAGTTCAAAAACCTCCCACTTTATAACAGAGCACAGTGCAAAACCATTTCTTGGAAAATAAAAAAAACCTTTTAAACAAAAGGACGGTCTCTATTAGCATTTGTTTCATTAGGCAATCTCTCATACGTTAATCATCACATGTTACCCATAATATTCACTAAGATTAACTGTAATACTATATCTATTGCGACTGACAATGACAGTGAGAGTGACACAGTCCAAGTTACAGGGCCCCGCAAAAGGTTCTCAAAAATTGCGTGACATAACTCACAATAACAGCCGGCTAGAGCCTATGAATGCATTACATAACATTCCCTAAGCTCCA